AGGAAGAGGATGGGAGGAGGCTTAAATAGGTGAAGAGGATGGGAGGATACTTAAATAGGTGGAGAGGAAGAGGATAGGAGGAGGCTTAAATAGGTGGAGAGGAAGAGGATGGGAGGAGGCTTAAATAGGTGAAGAGGATGGGAGGATACTTAAATAGGTGGAGAGGAAGAGGATGGGAGGACTTAAATAGGTGGAGAGGAAGAGGATGGGAGGATACTTAAATAGGTGGAGAGGAAGAGGATGGGAGGAGGCTTAAATAGGTGGAGAGGAAGAGGATGGGAGGAGGCTTAAATAGGTGGAGAGGAAGAGGATGGGAGGATACTTAAATAGGTGGAGAGCTTTGTGCAAATTTAAAAACGCGAAGCTGAAAACATTGAAATCAATGCGAGATTTTGTCGTCATGATTAAACTACAAATCTTAAAACAAAAAACACTTCAAAATAAAATACCTTATCATATGTAATGCTTCCAAACGCAATTCAATGTATTGTAACGTATTATAATAATTATATAGTTGGGCGGGTTATTTTGGGTTATTAGGAAATAATAATGCGAAGATCAGTACACGTAACGATAACAAATTAATTTGTTTCTTCATTCATGTTCTATCTAGAATAAAGGTTACGTTCACTGGTAGGCATTACTCAACAAACAACGTTTCAAGAGAAATTCCGAAAATAATGTAAGCTTAATTTACTTGCAAGACTTTCCTCTCTAAGAGATGAATAACAAACGCATTCACTATTTTGAAAATTTAATAATTGACGGACGTCCCCCGATGGGACAGCGGTAAATGTACGTACTTAAAACGCTAAAATCCAGGGTTTGATTCCCTGCAGTAGACACAGCAATGTGGCTTTGTTCTGAAACAAACAAACACTAACTGACACTGAACTGATTAATTAATCTAACTCAACTCAGTCAGACGTTTCTTATATTGTAACAGTTTTCTACATACTACAGAATGCTTGAAGATTTTACAGAGGCCTAAGCTTTAATGAAATTTCTAGACTTTGCACAAACATTACACCATGTAAAAACATCCTTCAGCGAACACAGCCTAAAACAGTATATTTAAATGACGTATCACAAAATCCCGGTGAACATTATAATAAATCACCAACAAGAAATACTTAGAAATTGGTTTCCGAGTGGTTTTCCTGGGTCAGATCAGCTGAATTTTATTGGCGCACTGGGAAAAACTTACAGAGAAGGCAAACATTTTAACATACTTTTTCTCGTGACTACTTATGGATCGAAAAGCAAACAGAAACGGAGAATACGTCAGATGTGGCGAGTGATCATGCGTCATTTCTCCTTTAATAGACAAACATTGCTGTTGTCTTGAGTTTGGCTGATACAGTATTAAACTTAATACAACTACAATGGTAACTATAACCAACAGTATAGATTAAAAACTGACAAACATGAAAAAGGGAAATCTGAAATTAAAAACATTCAATGTTTAATCGCTGAGCCCGATGCGGCTGTGCTTGTCTAAGGTCACACCTTACACAAAGTCAGTTATATAGAATGCAACTATTCCATGAAAGTTCAGATGAGACTGGAGCACCTTAGACTTATCATGCTAGGACTAAAACGAGAACAAGGTTTTATTTTCATTTCGCTCAACGTTTTGTTCTACAACTTCTTCAGGAGTGACCTCCTACTTAAAACTGGTTGACTCGCTTTTTGTAATAGCAAACGAGGTCCTTGAACGGTCAATCGACAATAAATAAATAAATAATAACACCCCAGGCTGAATTAAAACCTCAGCCGGATGTTTAAATCTGAAGTTAGAAAAAATCAACAATTTCGCAGATATGAAAATATATATATACCATAGAATAGTAAAGCATGTAGTATTATTTTCGACTTCCAGGATGTAATAAGATCCATTCTAGTTTTCTTGGACCAGTAAAATATATATGGCAGTAATTAGTGAATTTGAGTTTGAACTAATGCAAAAGCCTTGCATTTGAAAACAAACTAGAAACATTATATTGTGGATGAAGTTATGTAAACATCCAATATTTTAATTTTGGAGTTTCTACACGTACATGCTGTATGTTATTTAGATTTCACATTACAAATGTGAAAGTTTATACTGGGACACAATAGGGAATGTTGTTTGTTTTTTTTTCTACGTAAATGTATACTTGGATTTGGTAGATAGTGAGAATAGTTTAATCAGTAATATCTTTGTTACATTATTCTTTACAACGTACAGGTTTCAATATGAAGATCAGCAGTAATTAGTGAATTTGAGTTCGGATTAATTTAAAAGCCTTATACACAAAAACAAACACACTATACTGTGGTTTAGGAAACTACACAAAAATCTGAAGGGTTATTATGATTTTATGTACATGCTGTTTCTTACTAGATTTCAGATTAGAAATATGCACTTTTTTATAGATATTTTTTTACATAAGGTATTTTGTAATAACAATAAGTACTTAGAATAAGGGTGAGAACTAGAGGGCCAAAGGGGTTTCGTAGA